ACATTGGATTGCATAATAACCCCCTTTTTTTTTTTTTTTTTGGGTTCTCATTCATTTTCCTCTTGATTCATTGTCCCCAAACACCCCAGATCCTCTCTCCGATAAAGCTCACAAATTTCCTCACCGAACCCTTCTCTCCTCCTTCCTCACCATTAGCACCGCAATCCTCACCCTCAGCACCGCCGTCGCCTCCGCCGACGATACTATCTTCCACCGATTCCATCTCGGTCGACTCGTCCTTCCCCAAACTCAACTCTGCCCGCTTCAACTCACCAGACCCATCACCGCCGTTTCTCTTTCTCCTTTCTTTCTTGCCCTTCGTTTTCTTCGCTTGAGCCAACCCATCTTCATAAGCATCTATTATTTCATGAATAAGCTGTCGATTCGGCGACGAGTCCCATCTGACCCAGTAACTCATATAACACCTAAAGCAATCACAGGAAAACAGGGGAGAATGATCACGTCCACTTCCCCCTCCACTGCCACCGCCGCTTTTATTCGTGTTCTTGGGTGTGTTTTTCCGCTGAGTGGAGAAGTTGGGAAAATTGGTATTGGGGCAAGAGATGAGATAGGCCAAGACCTCTTTGTCCTCCGGGGACAGAGCAGTAGCAAGAGTCAAGATAGCAGCCGGAAGGAAGGAGAGACAATCGGTAGTCACCGCCGGAGACGGATGGACGGTGCCCTTCCGGTATAGCTTCTTCATAGTGTTGATAAGAAAAAGAAAATTCTTAAGCCGGTTGGGGAAAAAGATAGGGAAGTCTTGTCCAACACAGGACTTTGAACGGCGGATGAGTCTTTGTTTCTCTTATTATTATTATATCCAGGGAGAAGGGGAAGTGAGCATTGGGGTTGGTGACGTGGTTTTGGGAACCTTGGGAAAAATGTTCAGATGCTGCGTGGTGTATTGGTACAGGCGTTGCGTTGAGTGAATCAGAATCGTTCGATTGGGAGTTGCAGTTGTGGCAGTTGGAGCTGCAATGTGATGGGACCAACTTGTGATTTGTCCGTGTCTTTGTCTGAGCCAATCTGGCCTTCTTTACACGTCAAAAGATTGAATTTTGGGTTGGTAGAATTGGATGGGCTCCACCTGGGACTGCCGGGCTGCGCCAACCATGATCCAAGACCTTAGGCCATAAAGCCCATGGGGCCATGCCCAGCTTAGAGCAAATACCGCATGGTGTGGGTAGGGGTGGGCATTCGGGTGGGTAACCAAATGGTTACCCGAAAATCAAACCGAAAAAATAAATTCAGTTTGGTTTTAATGGTTTTTAAATTTTATCATTTCAATTTTGCTATTAACCAAAGAAATTTTGGTTTAGTTTCGATTGAATTTTTCACAAACCAAAAACCAAAAATGAATCTCTTGAAAACCAAAATTTAAATAAATATGATAAAATATGAAATAAAATATAATTTATTATTAAAAAAATTCATTAATATTTATTTAGTGAAAATCAAAACTGAACCAATTTTATTGATAACCAAACCAATCGATTTGTAAAAAACTTCAGTTTAATTTTGGTTCTCAAAATTCAAAAAAAAAAAATGGTTATTTTAAAACCAATTTCGGTTTCAACCAAAACTGGTTTTTGCCCACCCCTAGGTGTGGGGCCGAAAAAGAAATGAAAGAGAGATTCATAGTTTTTGTAGAATCTCGTGCGTGTGCGTGTGTGTGTAATACAAACAAGTTTAAGGGTATTTCTAAAAACTTAAAATTTCAAGTTAAAAAATTTAAGTTCAAATCTTAAAATAAGTGAGAAGAGTTAAAGGAAAAGGAGGGCCATTCATCTGATGTATCGAATAGCTCCTCTTCATCCGATATATCAAATATACATATATATATATATATATATATCATACAAATGAGGCAAGAATACATTATTATAAGATGAATGAGTAGCAGCAGATTTTCTCAAATAGTATAATTTAGCAATTACCAGTTGTGATACTGATAGTTGTAATAATAATATGTTGTTCTCAAATTGGTCAGACCTCTAAGAAGAACCCTGTAGACGGGTCTTGATCCATGATTCCAGGTACTTCAGCTCTTCCTTGGTTATTGAATGGCCGAGACCAGGGTAGACCTGTGGAAATCATAGATAAAATAATTTCAGCGAATCACTATGGAACAGGAGAATGTTTGGAGGGTTTAGATGTATACCTTAAACTCACAGCTAACCCCGGCTTGTTCAAGAAATGGAGGGCCAGCTTGTCCAGCCTCAAACAATACCGTTCTGTCTGCCTTACCATGAGACCATAATATAGGTGTCTGCAAAAGTTTCAGACCTTACATGATTAAGCCAAGCACTAGGCTACCTTCTTTGAAAGGGTGAAAAAATGTCAAGCAATATGTCTTTTGAAATATGTACCCCAAAAAAAAAAAAAAAAGGGGGAAAAAATGAAATCTCAGTCAAAGGATATATTTTCCTGCACCCAGTCACCAGAAGAGCTATACTGACCCATTGAAATCATATCCCAATCCAAAGGCATAGAAGTAAGACTTTTGAGCTGGAGGATGTTCTCTATTGAACCACATGTCTACTCACCAGTCACCACTGGGTAACTAGTCATCCTTCAGTGTAGCTAAATTTTAATTTCATTTGGACAAAAATGAAGAGAGATGAGAAGAAGAAAGGAGAACATTGACACAAACTACATATCATTTGCATAATTGAATATAAAAACCTTCTTTGCATCCGGTGGGAATTTTTCTATCAAGGAGGAATTAAAGGGAACCCATCCACTAAAGACTGCACCTCCTCCAAGCCTTTTGGGGTACAATAGAACACTAGCTAAGGTCAAGGCACCTGCAAATAGCAGCCATAGTTGGCAATGTGTATCATAACTAATTAGAATATAATAAGATGTGTTTGTTGAGAGATAGAGAAAAAAAGGATTCCTACCCCCTTGACTAAATCCACACACAAAAACATTATTAAGATCTGTCCCAGCAGCTATCTCCTTGTCTATCATAGCATGCACATTCTGAACTGCTTTGAGCACATCACTTTCATCTTTAGGAGAATCCTAACCATGAAATAAAAAAACAAATGCATATCTCAATGGAATCAGCATCATTGAAATTTTATGGAGAAATGTCTGTGAATGAAGTATATAATTCTACATAATGAAAAAAGGAAGGTAAGCATAACATACAGCTTTCACAGGGATCTCATGTATGTCAAACCATGAAGGCATCACTGTGCCATCTATAAGGAAAAAGAAGTTAAAAACACATCTGATTATCTGAAAAATCTCTACCAGCAGTAGCAAGAAGCTATCAGAATCATTGACATGATGATATACCATCTTGAGACATCATTCTCCAACAAATTCTTAGATGGCTCAAACCTCTATAAGGTTGTCCATAGACCACAAATACAGCCATGAAAAAGGAATAAAATACAAATTGGTCTTTAGCTCAGAACATAGCAATGAGTGAAACACAGACAACAGGACAAGTACCTCCAAAAACAGTTTAGCAAAGGCAAAAGGAAAAAATGAACCTCTAAAGATTGAATTGCGCCAGTTAACTTCTTCCAGGCAACTAGTAGTGATCTGTCCTGGTCAGTTAAATCTGTCATCTAATGGTATACCTAGAATGAAGTTACTGTCTTTCAGAATCAATTTCTGCTTGATATTTGTTAGCTTAAAGTTTAAACATGTATATCCTATTGAACAATAGAATGACAAATTACAACTACGAAGTTGTAAAAATCAGCAGTTCAACTCAACGACTTTATAGCCCAGCAGATTCCTCTCCCCTAATTCAAGTAAGCAACATAATTGGCATAAACATGTAATATCTTGGTATGTACCTAGTGGTCAAGTCTGTATCTTTTACACAGGCATTTTTAACTCCAGAAAAATTAGACCCATCTAGCATTCTTCATTCAGATCACAAAAGCAATTAATTAAGAACGAAATCAATACAAAGAAAAGAAAAACCCCGATAACAAATTAGCATCCTAAACCCCGAAACAAGTAAAGCAATCTAATGAATTAAAAAAAACAACACGCATGTAATTAGGAAAGAGTCTCACAGTTGCAGGTGACTGGATTTGAAGGAGCAGAAGGGAAGGACCATTTGGTGTTTCTGAACGCAGAAGAAGTGAAGAAGGTCTTGATGGGTTCATTGGCGGGGCCTGAGTCACCTAACCCATGAAGCCAGAGGACGAAGCTTCGACTCGCCGTGGAATCTAATTTTCGAGAAGGGGATTGGAAGCAGTGGGAAAACATTATGAAGACAATGGTGCTTCCTAGAGCCACGGCGGGAAGAACTATTGGCTTTCGGAGTAAGGCAGTCGGCATTTCGGGTATCCCCTGGCTAAGCTTCTGTTTGTTCAACTATTTCTGGACCAGTTAGACCTGCCAAGGTCGGATTGGGTGGGTTTGGATCGGTCATTTCAGATGCCAATTTATCTGGATTGGGGCATTTTGGATGTTAGGTCAATGAGGTTAACCCATGATCTATTTATGCGGATCTCGAATTGGGTTGGTTAAACTTATTTTTTTTAAAAAATAAAAATAAAATTAATTTTTTTAGTAATTTTTAAAATAAAATTTAATATTAATTAATTATTTAATTAAAAAACTTTATTATTAATTATCTATTTAGTTAGAAAACTTTATTAAACGTTAATTTTTATTTTATAATTCAATTTTTTTCTAATCTCAAGAAAAAAAAGAGAGAAAGATTAGTGATTATATAAGTAGAACTAAAATATATGTCAAATATATAATACCTATACAATATTTAAAATTCATAATTTTATAAATCTATTAACTTTTATTAAAAGAAAAGATATAAAAGATTAAAGTTCAAAAGACAAAAGAAATTAGAGTTTAAAAGACAAATTCAATATATATATATTAATATCTAGTACATATTTAATATTTATAAGAATATTATATTAAAAATACAATTCTATTCAATATTTAAGAGGACATCATACAAAAAATATAACCCTATTCAATATTTAAGTTTAAAAGACAAATCCAAAATATATCTAATCAAATACAAGAAGAAATTGGATCAGAATTGATTTTTATTAATTATGAATAAATTATTAATTAAAAACAAATTAGCAACTAAGAACGGATCTTGATATTCTTCATGTTCTTGATATTCTTGTTTTTGTACTTTTAATGGTTATGAGAGTACCTTAATTATTGAGTTTTGATATTCAGTAGGCATTTTTGCTTTTTATTTTTTAAAAATGATCTTTTTTTATGATATTATATGACTTAGCTCATTATGTACCACCTAATCTAATTTTTTAGGTAAGTGTCACTAAAGAGAAGAATTAGAGACCTTGAGATGAATAAGCGGGGAGCAAGAGTGGAGACAAAGGAAAGTTGAGAGAAAGTGAAATTGATGAGAGATTAGTGTTTGATTATTTTATTTATTTTTACTTTTAAGATTAAGAAATTAAAAATTTAACATTAATTTTTAAGTAATATAATAAAAATAAATAAAAAAATTTAAGTTATTTTGGGTGACTCAACACACCTGTAACTTAACCCATTTAGATTCGAATAATTACAATCTAGATTATTTCAAATTTCATATTAATATACAAAATCGATGACCCTACCCATAACAATGAGTTGAGTCAAATTTTTTTATGGAGTCTAATTTTGCTACGTCTAGTAGACATTGGCTAACCAAAAGATTAAAAAAAAAAAAAAACTTTATTTGGAAACTGTAGAATGGAATTGAAAGACAGAATTGCCCTTTTCCTTTTTTTTTTTTTTTTGTAAATTAACATTTCTAATGCTGCATTGTGGGGAAAAAAAAA